GAAACTACAGATATAAAGCAAGGTTGGTTGCACAAGGTTTTACACAGAAAAAGACTTAAAGTGTAAAATAGATAATGCAATAAAAGTAATGGAAGATAATACCACTTGTATACAAATGGCCAAAACAGATAGAGTAAAAAACAGGAGCAAACATGTTGATATAAAATATCATAATGTAAGGGAAGCTGTAAAAGGAAAACTAATTGAATTAGAATATTGTAAGACTGAAGAAAATATTGCAGACATATTGACTAAACCGTTGTGTGCTCAAAAGCATGAAAAGTGTATAGATGCATTGGGAATGTGTAATGGGTTCAGGCAATTTAAAAATTAGGAGGAGTGTTAAGGTATATAATTTTTATATAGCCTGAACATAATATGTGTGTGTGCAGAACAAGATTGAGATGACGTCATTCCTTCATCCCTGGCTGATGCAATTTCTCTGCAATATGAAGATTGCCACACCTGTGTGCATGAAGTCACCTTAGACGGGATTGGACCAGACTGATGCCAGAATTGTATTTAAGAAATGAACTCTGTACAGTCATTCTCTTCTCCTGTGTACTGATGTCTGCATGTCATGCTGCCGGTTTGAATACTGAATACTGAAGTGCTGTATGTATGTATATCCTGTATATATTTTGTAAATACACTGCTGAAAAGAAGAAGCTGTTGTGTGCGTTTATCTGCTCTTTACTCTGCGAGAGACAAGATAAAGTCACAGACGCACACTCCCTTAACAACCTTTAGAGTAGGATTTAACCTAACTGAGTAAGTTGAAGACAAGCACCCATTATAGAGGAGAACGTTAAGATATTCACAACTGGATTTACCATCCAATGCATTGTTGATAATTTCAGTTTGCCACTTATTAAAGTGCTGCCGCATTGCTGTGAACAATCTTCGTTTTCCTGGACCGATGAAAACCTCTTCTCCTTCCTGTACCTTTGAGATGGTGTTATTAAAGTATTTGATTTTCTGTAGAGAGATTTACTAATTACTTTCAAGGTCTGATAAAGAGCTTTCATATTCAAAACCTGGATCCTTTCTATATACTGACCTTGTTTCAGAAGATGTGAATTTCATCTGCAAAGACATTTCTAAAAACCTTTATATTCTCTCATAGAGGTCAACAGCAAACTATCCTCTTCTTTAATTGCACATGCATCTTAGGAGAGAGAGTTCCCCACATTCTTGCTTGCATGGAGCACATCTATGCAAACAGGAACCTCTCCTCTTCAGACTTAACTTTCCATGTGAAGTAAAATGATGACAGAGGGCATTGGAATATAGACTTCTCAACTTGCGTGGTGAAGACAACTGGCTAAATAAAGCCTGAATAGGGCTAATGATTACCGTATTTTTCCATATATAATACACCCCCATGTATAAGATGTCCCCACTTTTCTAATCCAAAATTAAGAAAAATAAGTGGGGTTTAACAAGTGTAGGGGGAAAGGGATCAAAGTGCTGCAGGATCGCTTTGATCCCTGCTTTCCTCTCCACTTGGTTTTGTTCTCTCCTCAGCTTACTTCCATGTATAAGACGACCCTGAATTTTTAGTCTAAAGATTTTAGACAAAAGTATAGTCTTATACAAGGAAAAATATGGTAACTCCAGAAAAAATAATCATGTGACATCATGGACTTTCTCCACTTTTTTCAAGCTACATCCAAAAATGTACCCCCTAGCATAGTTATAAGATGCTTGAAAATGTGCTAGACAAATGAAAAACAATCAGCAAAACTTTCTTTCCCATCAATATCATTTTTAAAAAGCAGTGAAAGATGCCATTCAGGAAGAAGGCGTGATAGATGTTGAGGTACAAGTACTTTAGCTTTGCATGGAAGAATGTGGACAGAAATACTATGGATTTCTGACAGCAAATATAACAAAGTGCAAATTACATGAAGCAATAGAAATGATCACACCTAGAACGGCATTGCAATCCTATCATTTGTCTGCTAAGTTCAGTGGGACCTACTCCTAGGTTAGCACAGGATTGCAACAGCACAGGATTGCAACATACTACCACCATATTAAAGTATTCAGACATTCTAGAAATAAACTTGAATGCCTATATTAATCTATTGTTGAATCTAAAGTGCTGTTTACCTGTATAAGGAAAAACATCTTGTCTTCAGGTGTTTCAGGCACACCTTGGCCACATTGCTGCAGCTGTAGGTTTGTTGCCTCAAGTTTGTCTTTTATTTGTTCTTCTAAATTGGGCAGCAATTTCTGGGGGTGAGGGTGGAGAAAAGAAAAATACCAGTAAGGAAGGTGTTCCGTCTCAGTCTCATGACAAACGTTTCAGCATCTTTCATAGGGTAGATTTAGACTTCTCTGTTCAACAATCCGACATATGGATGGAGAGAGTGACTGATGATGTTTATATGTAACCAACTGGAGGCTCTAGATGGAGCATTTGTCCTTCTCCAGGAGGGGCAAAGTCAGAGGGTCAAATCATCATTTGGTGAATGGGTTGGCTCATGAAATCAAAAATACACACAAATCCTCAAATGCTAATATTATGCTATGTTGTCTGTAAGAAAGACATGCATTCTGTATTGGTTCCAGCAAACAGAAAGAGGGAGGAACCCTGCAAGTGTGACATAATTTTATGAACAAAGAGCTGGCACTGGAAGTATGCTAATGTTTACAATTCACAGTCATCTAAGTTACACATTCCTCCATCTATTTCTTGAAAATGCTGCATCAAAATCCCAGCAGCTTTGAAAGCCACACTGGTAAAAAGAGAAGCCTCTTGCAGACACTGTGCATGAATGGGACGCTGCAGAGGTCCTGAGTGTAGAACTGCACAGCCATTCCCACCCTCAACAAGGGACAGCTGACCAAGCCGGGGCACAGACCGTCTCCATAGGGAAAGCTTATGGAGGAGCAGAGAATAACAGTTAAGTCCTCCCTGTGCAGACAGATGCACGGGCAACTGAATTTGGAGCAAGAGGCATTCCCAGTAGCAAAGCCCTCATCCCATTAATCATGATGAAGCCATCACACCAATTTACATGGGAATGGGTCTGTTATCTGTTTTTTTTTCTAACATCTCTGTGTTTTTAATGACACCAATGGTTTCAGCATACTTAAAAAGTATAAGAATGGGTATTTTCTTACATTAATGTGGTCTATCAGCTCCTGGGTAAGCCTCTCTGCCAACAGTGGAATAGTTGCTCTGTGTTCTTCCAGGAGGCAACTGGCAGGGGACAGAATAAATAATCGAATGCAAAGGTATTTCATTTGCACCTCGAGATACCATTTCCAATGTTCTCTCAATATGACCTTGTTCAAGCAGTGTCTTCTGGCAAGCAGAACAAAAGTAATGCTGTCCCTTCCTTGAATCTCGCATGCCAGCCCTCCTTAACCACTTAGGTTTTCATCTCCAAAGCAGACCTACATGTGCAATATAAAACATACGTTGACCTTAACTGCACGGCTGATTCCATGACATGGCTATGTCAAAGGCAGAGATGGTCAAAGGAAGATGGGCTGCCAACGTAAGGAGAGCAAGGACAGAGATGACAGGCATGCCTTCCCGCTAGAATAGGATTGGCCTGAAGGTGAAAACAGAACCTTCCCTACATTATAATTTTCCATTGATAAGGAACACAAATAAACACATTGCAACATGAGATCTAATTCGGATCTAACACCTTGCAGGTGTTGGAGACAGCCACAGCCATTCTCAGCTTTAACATAATGCAGATTAGTGTCGCTAAGGAATGGTGTACATTTTGCACATTTCCCACAACTTCCCCTTCCAATGAAGAAGGAAAGTATCCTATCAACAAGGTAACTGGGTCCTTGTCCTCATTGTGCTGCATTTATGTAGAACTTAGAAAAGTTACTTTTTGGAATGCAACTCTGAGAATACCTGAGCCAGCCCGGTCAGTGGCCACGATGGGTTGAAGATTATGGGAGCTGTAGTCCAAAAAATTAACTTTTCCAAGCTTTGTAACCTGATTAGCTGAAGCAGAATGTTTATGGGGACAAACTTGCTTCCCTATCTATCTTTTGCTTTAACTTATCGTGTGTAACATCATGAAGGCAAAAGTGTATTTTGATGAAAATTCTGCTATACAACAAACTATTCTTGCTTCTCCCCCAAATAGCTGCCATATTTATAAAGCAATGACTATTAACAGATGAAGAAAAATATAGAAGGTAGTTTTTCATGCTCTCCAATAGGCATTGCTCACAGTAAAAGTCAAAGTTTAACAACATTCTGGTGCAGCATGTATACATAAGCTATTTTCCTCTGTCCATTACTTCCTTTGTTCCCCTCTATTTACATTTCATCTTACATCAAAATACTCAAAACCCAGTTCGTTTTTTTCACTCTGCGTTATGCCTGTGCATATCTTCAACCCACAGAACAGTCTTATGTACCTAAAAAATGTGCACACGTTGGCTGCACACATTCAATCAATTTAGTACTATATCTTAGCCCCCTTCCAAAAAAAGAGAGAGCATACAATTTGCGTTTATTTGAAAATGCTACCTGAAAACTTCATGCTCTTCAAAAAACCTTCTCTCTTTCTGGTTTGCATCTGCCAAGCTCACTCTGCTCTTGATGTCTTCCTGTCCGCGACACTTAACAATCATGTAACCTTTCCTCAGGAGAACCCTTTGATTCCGAACTATGTCCACTACCTCTTCTTCAGCTCCTGGGTCAACCAAGTCTGGCTTAGTCAAGATGCCTGTGAAATAAATAATGCACAATAGCGATAGTGTTCTTCTTCTCAAGAAAAGGAACAGCTATTCTGACAATGTGTAGCATTAAGAAAGATGATCTCTGAGCATCTTCCCCATTGAATCATTAAGGACTCTTCCTTTCTGCCTTGCTGGACACTATGGGGAGCAGAGCTTCCAACAGATCTCTCAGGCAGGGGCAAGTAAAAGTAACTTTGCTTTTGCTTAACACACCCTTTTTTCCCTTCCAACTGGAAGTGTTCCATGGAGGGAATGACACCCTCATTACAAGGTTCTTGAATTCCTCCTCATTTTTTGCCATGAGAGTGGTATTGTCTGCATATCTGAGGTTGTTGATATTTCTTCCGGCAATCTTAATTCTGGTTTGGGATTCATCCAGTCCTGCCTTTCGCACGATATATTCTGCATATAAGTTAAATAAGCAGGGGGACAATATACAGCCTTGTCGTACTCCTTTCCCAATTTTGAACCAATCAGTTGTTCCATGACCAGTTCTAACTGTTGCTTCCTGTCCCACGTATAGGCTTCTCAGGAGATAGACAAGGTGGTCAGGCACTCCCTTGCATCTTGTCACCCTTCTCTTCTCTGCCATTTGTAAGGCCTCGTTGGACAGCCACTTTGCTTTCTTGCAGTTCCTTTTCTTTGCGATGGTTTTTGTTGCTGCCTCCTGTACAATGTAACAAGCCTCCATCCATAGTTCTTCAGGCACTCTGTCCACCAAATCTAGTTCCTTAAATCTGTTCTTCACTTCCACTGTGTATGTCGTGGTCTGGTCAAACTATGCATTTGTTCCCTGAGCTTCTGGAAGCTTTCCTAGAGACTAGCTGCAGCTCACTACAGCTGCAGCTCATCAGAGATAATGTAAATAGGCGTCTTGGTCCTGTATATAAGGAAAAACGCCAGAACAGTTGGTGTGGGTTAGAATGGGTGTGTAGGAGTGCACGTCTGCTGCTATTTTCTTTATTTTGTTTAAAGTAAAGTGCCTCTGAAGAAGACTTGCTTTGCTTGTTGTGCTTCTTTTGCTGGAACCTCTGCTGAAAAGGCATAACCCTTACATCCAAAAACACAACATAAGGGATTTGGTTTAGATTATACCTGACTAGCCCAGTAGGTTTTTCCTACTTTCTTCAGTTTAAGCTTGGGTTTTGATATAAGAAGCTGATTATCAGAGCCACAATCAGTTCCAGGTCTTGTTTTTGCTGACTGTATAGAGCTTCTCCATCTTTGACTGCAGAGAACATAATCAATCTGATTTCGGTATTGCCCATTTGGTGATGTCTATGTGTAGAGTCACCTCTTGTGTTGTTGGAAAAGAGTGTTTGTGAGGACCAGCTTGTTCTCTTGACAAAACTCTATTAGCCCTTGACCTGCTTCGTTTTGAACTCCAATGTCAAACTTACCTGTTGTTTCTTTTATCTCTTGTCTCCCTACTTTAGCATTCCAGTCCTCTATAATGAGAAGAATATCTTTCTTTGGATTCATATTGAAATCATTCTATCATTTTTGAGATTGTACCCCAGTACAGATTTTCCCACTCTTTTGTTGACTATGAGGGCTACTCCATTTCTTCTATGGGATTCTTACCCACAATAGTAGCTATGATAATCGTTTGAATTGAATTCACCCATTACCGTCCATTTTAGTTCACTGATGCCCAGGATGTCAATGTTTATTCTTGCCATCTCCTGTTTGACCACATCCAGCTTCCCAAGGTTCATAGATCAAGGAATTCATTCTGAGCTACAAATCTAGATCTCTAGGACTTCTGTTCAAGTATCTCACATATTACGGGAAAGCAAATTCTGATCTGATGGAAAAACCCAAAGGCTTATCACCATATCCAGAAGTGGAACATCAACAGGTGGTTTCACCCAGGATTCAGCAGAAATTAGGACATGCATCTCCAACAACTCAGTGATTATTTAAAATACTGCTGCATCTATAGAAGTCAACCCAGTAATAGGGAGGTTTGTTGTGTGAGTTCTGCAAATCTGCAAAAAAGAAGAATGGGAAAGGGGGGGACAGACTTTTGTTATGTACATACCAAGGGTTCTCTCTCCCTCAGGGTCTACTTCTTGGGCCATTTTCAGTGCTTCCATGGTTGCAATGTCTACGTTACTTGGTATCACTACCAAATTGATGGTTTCTTGTTTGGTAATATACTTTTTAATTAATTTCATTATCTGTAAGAAAATCCAGATAACAAGAATTGTGTTACATGGCCCCTGATAATACTCATAGGCAGAGCCTAGGACAATGCTGAACAAAATATTATAATGATTCTTCCTACACAGGCCATGGCTCTATTAGCATACAGTAGAACCCCCATATCCACAGGATCATTATCTGCGGTTTCACTTACCAGCAGTCTGAAAATAATAAAAATATTGAAAGAAAAATCCCAGAATGATGTAGTTACCAGAACTGGCCACTGGAGGGAATCAGAGACCACACTAAGTATAGGGTTTGCTATAGAAATACAGTGGTGCCCCGCATAGCGAGCGCCCTGTTTAATGACAAATCCACATAACGATGCGGATTTTGCGGTCGCAAAAGCAATCACATTGCGACGTTCTCAATGGCCAAAAATCGCATTGCGATGATCGGTGTTTTGCTTACCGATCTTTGCATTGTGATGTTTTAAAAACAGCTGATCAGCGGTTCCAAAATGGCTGCCGGAAGGAAAAAATGGTCGCCCGCAGCATTTTCGCACGGTTTCCCTCATATACCGGGCGGCGAAAATGGCAGCCATATGGAGGATTTCCGCATAGCGGTGAGTTTATCCCCCATAGGAATGCATCAAACGTTTTAATGCGTTCCTATGGGGTTTTTAATCCTGCATAGCAATGAATCCGGATAGCGATGATTTTTTCAGAACGGATTATCGTCGCTATGCGGGGCACCACTGTATGTATTTCTATGATGAGATTACCAGAAATGGGCACTAGAGGGAGTCAGGCCATGTAATGTATAGTGTTCACTATTATCTATACAGTGGGGTCTCGACTTACGAACGACCCTACTTGTGAACAATTCAACTTACGAACCCGCCCTATAGGGGAAATAAGGATTAGACATACAAACTTCCCTCGAGTTACGAACAGGAAAAACAGTGCCCCCTCCCTCCCCTTAGAGGCTTCTGGAGGGGGGAAAAGGGTCAGAAACTTAAAAATGAATAAAAGAAAGTCACTTACCAGGCCTTGGTAGTCCCAAAACAGCAGGAAAAAGAGCAGGAAACAGCTAAAAGCCCACACCAGAAGGGAGCCTGGCAGCCATTTTGTGCTTTCCCCCCGCTCCTGCACCCTCCTCTCCCCACCTATCAGCTGATCGGCTGGCTCTGAAGAGGCTTGGGGAGGCTT